GAAGAAGACCAAAATAGTATCTAGCATGATCTGGAGAAATCCTTCAGACATGAATTCGATGCAGTTGGGGCCTGCCAAGTACAAAAATTCAACATTGAAAGATCAGAAGGTGACACACAATATCCCCCTCCCCCCGTGAAGGCAGTAATCAAAATTCGTCAACATCAGCTGGGTGCCTTTGAGGAGTCAGTACTGAACATGGGTCTCAACTTCGCAACAACTATCAAGCAGATACATCATTGTCTGAATTGAGGAAATAGCCTTGAACATTCCCCAGGCTTGGGCGGATGAGCTAAGATGGAAAGTGAGATGGATACTGGAGAAAGCCAAGCCACGCAAATCAAACATCACAAAACTGAAGAGGCTGGCAATCAAAACCTTACAGAGGAATGACAACATCATACTACCAGTTGACAAAGGCAATGCAACTTTTGTGATGGACAAAACAGAATATACAGGAAAACTGGAAGACCTCATTAGAAATGGTAGCTAAAGTAAAGAAGGATCCAACACTGAAAACTGTTGCAGATCCTAATCAAGAACAAGGATCACTTCCCTTCTAAGATATACAGACAGTTGTCACAACATTACATACGGCAAGCTACCTCACATACAGTCTCCCCAAAATTCACAAAGACGGTATTCTGCTCAGGCCAATTGTTTGCTGCCAAGGCTCTGTGTGTGCGCGCTCAACCCCCCCCCTCCCAGTCGCTTCCTTGTGGATATATAACTGACCCATTAATAGGAAAGTTACCATCATATATCCGGAATCTGCACACTTTTTGGAAATAATTAAGGATACTCCCATCCAATACAACCAGATGGTGAGCCTGGATGTGATGTATTTGTTCACCAAGGTACCCATAGAGGAGGCACTATCAGTAGTTGGGGATAGGCTGGCTTTGGACTCATCCCTAGGCAAATGGACCAGTATACCAATAAATAACCTGATGGAGGTGCTGACTTTCTGTACACAAGCAACATACTTTGGAATGGGATCAGACATATATTGGCAGGATGAAGGGTTAGCAATGAGCTTGCTATTATCACCAGCAATAGCTAACATATACATGGAATACTTTGAAGAAATGACATTAGAATCCACATCACTAAAGTCAGCTCTATGGCTGAGATATGAAGATGACACCTTCATAATCTGGTTACGCCAGGAAGAGGTTCAGCTACTACTGGGCCATGTTAACTCAATAAGATCATTGATATAGTCCACAATGGAGAGAGAAAACAACGAACTCTCATTCCTGTATATACTAATGTCTTGAACATGGCATGGGTTCAAGACATCTGTATGCTGCAAACCAGCATTCACTGGACAATACCTCAACTTCAACTCCCATCACCAGTGTAAAGAAAGGGATTGTCCACTGCTTACAACCTCAAGCAAAAGTCATAAGTGGTGACCTAGAACATATGAACAAGAAATGGTCAGTATGAGCTGTACCCTATAACATAACAACTACACTGGGTACATGGCAGCAGCTCCAACAAACTGGGATAGAAGGGTGCAAGAGGATAACAACATTCTGGGGAAACAGCCTTGTCTGTCTACCCTATGTGAAGGGATTATTGGAAAAAATACAAAAGATCTGAGGTTCGTATAACATCAGGACAACCTTCAAAAATGGTTCAACACTTTGCAGACACTTCTTTAGAGTAAGATTCCTCATAAGGAGAAAATAATTAAGGACTGTGTATGCTATCCCACAGTTGTGGTAATAAATATAAAGGTGAAACAGGCTGTCCCTTTAAGATGAGACTGCAGGACAGGAACACCATAATACGAGGGGGAAATAGAAAAATCAGGCATAGTTGACCACATATGGAGGGAAAAGGGAGATCATGGCCCCCTGCGGAATGGGGTTGAAATAATAGAGAGAGAACATCACTGGAAAGCAATCTGTGCATATGCTAGACCACAGAAATCTCCTAAGCCGGCCAAGTATAGACATGAATGCAATATGGGAACCATTAATATGGAGTGCTAGAGAAAAACTATCATAACAACAAAATTGCATTATGAGCTCTGGTAAAATGGTTACTGAGACATTAGGTTTATAAGTCCCCAAAATTTATACACTGATGTCCTCAAGGACACATGGCCCAGTGGATAAGTGTTGGTTGAATTCAATGACTTCATCCAAAGAGTTGTGAGTTCAATAAAAAAAAAAAACAAAAAAAAAAACTTGGTGAGTTAAAGAGAGATAACTGATACTGAGATATCTGGAAGAGGTATGGCACATGGAACTAGAACAGTCTACCCCAGTGGACAAAATAAAGGGTTCAGTTTGAAATTCCAATCACTTGAAGAAGGCTGGAGCATACAAAATGCCATGAATATTGAAACAAAGATGAGGACAACAGTCTGAACAATGTAAATTACTTAAAGTTTGTATTATATATTTGTGAGAGTGCAAGAAATGCTTTAGTTGTTTAATATGACCCTGAGTATAATTTGATCACTGTGACATCTTAATGTAAATTTATTCCTAGGTTGTTGAAATTCATTGCCAGATATGTATTTAAGCCAAAAAACAATTTGAATTTTTTAGCTGATATTATATTTATAGGGTTTTTTTTTTTTTTTAATAAATATGTATATAGCCCCTACAAGTGTTATGTTTATGTTAACATAGTGTTTATATGATTTTTCATTGTTATAGGGTGTTTTTTTAATTTAAAAAATAATTATTTTATTTTTTATGTGAAGGTGGATAAGATTAAGGATTATAATTTTGTTTTTTATACATCTATTTTGGACTCTTTATTTTACAGCTAAAAGTAGCATTAATATTAAATTTATACTCTTACAGCATATTAATGATAGAGAATGTAATGTAAAGAATGAGAATGCTAGACTGTTTTACTAACAAATATTTACAACACATATTTTATGACTGCTATTTGTAGGTTTTGCTTTAAGATTAGTTTTCTTTCAAGTTTAAATTATGACAAATATTACTAACCTGCTATTGAAGATCGAAGACTAAAAATGATTTTTCAGTTATACTGTAGGCACAGTGCGGCTTTTGAAAAAGCCCTTTACACTTCATAGGAGTATATTGGATACTTACTTTTTTGCAGAAAAAAACAGTATAGCATGATGAAAAAGGTCCCAAACTTAATAAAAACAGTTTTATTGTCAAAATGTTTGTTATTATTAAGAGGAAAGACCAAAATTCTTTTTTTCCGTCACTGGTTGGTCTAATATTTACTGTTGGTATTTTAGCACCTTTTTATTTATATATTTATTTATTTTTTTTATTTTTTATTTTTTTTTTTTATTTTTTCCTGTAAAAAAACATTATTTCAAAATTCTGGCAAAAATCATTGTCAGATTTTAATGAAACTTTCAGGACTTATTCACAAATGAATTAAATTATTTTTGGAATCTCTTCTTTTTTTTTTTTTTTTTTAAAGAAAATCTTGTGATGATAGACAACTAAAAATAGGTGCTAATCAGCTATTAAAAAAAAAAAAAAAATCAATTCTAATCAATATAATTTCTGTTTGAAATACACCAGAGTATTTTGCTTACTGGAAATAGTAAATTTAATCCTTTCAAGCTAAAATGAAAGCTGTTTTTCCCATCTCGGTTTTTGCATTTTGTCTTTGAACATTTTTGCATAAATATGTAATATCTATCAGAATTTTCTTGATAATTATAGTGAATCCATACACTTTTTTTTTTTTTTTTTTCCAAGTAAATTGTGATAGTATAATGTATTAGTTAAAATATTTGTCACACGTTAGTCTACTGTCTTATTCAAAGATCCAACTTTGTCCTTAAATTTGAGATTATATCCATACCCCTCCCTCTCTCCGGTCAGCAGAATAGCTTACCTTTTTAATTTTTGATAGTTTTTATTGTAGGGTGAAAAATCATGAGCTTTGATTGGAGTACCCAGGGGAAAAAAAAAAAGTAGGTCATATTGGTCAGGTGATGTGTGCTGTGACACATGACTTGTTGTAGATAATGCTTCTAATTCTGATGTTTAAGTGAAAGAGAAAGAAATGACTAAAAGGCTTACTCAACCATTTCAAAGTATTCAAAACTATGACCCTACTTTATAATTTAATTATTCTTTTTATATCACATTACTCTGGATTAAACTGTATAAAGTGATATAATCATTTCAGATGAAATATTATGAAAAGGCCTTTTCAAATTATCTTTGATATTAGCATTAGTCTTATATGTGATCTTTATCACTTTTAATCATGTGTAGCTTATTTTGATATTTTTTGATCTCTTACAATGGAGGTTAATTTATTTGGTCATTGATATTTGTTCATTTACTTCATTTTAATGGTTTATATCTATGTATGGTATTCCTTTAACTAGTAAATGTACTGGCAGATAAAATGCCACTAGTTTTGAGATGCACATAGATTGACAATGTTACAAGAAACAAATTGGATGTATGTTTTACATCATCCAGTGAAAATTTAAATATCAGTGCTTAAAGGTAACATCAGTCATTATATTATTAGAAGATAGTCTTTTTTACATCAATAGGTAATTTATTTTAATCTGTATATCTTCAAATGTTTAGTTACCTTAATATAACAGGCAACTCATTGACTGTTTAATGATAACTAACAAAAAGTGCTTCCAACTTGGATAACTCCTCCTTTCATTAGGTGAGCAAGTTTTCATAGGATCTATTATGTATTGCAAGTGACTTTAATAAAACAAGAACAAATAACAATAAAAAATTGTTTCAAGTTTGGTTGGACTCTATAAATTTACCTTTTCTTTGGGAGTATTTTAGAAGTTCAAATGGTCACCTGTACAGAACTTATCTACTGTGCTACTTTGCACAGCTACCTGTTGTACTATGGTTTTATTTTTGGCTATTTAACATTCAGTTTCTGAATATGGTTAATTAATTCAGTATGACTGAAATAGTTAATTTTTACTCCTTTTAACACTACTAAATTATTCTGTTTCTAATGTTTTCCCCTCATTTTTTCTATTGCAGTCAAGATAAAACCAATGATTCAAATGCTTCTGATGAGGTTCAGTTAACAGGGCATGCTGAAGGTTAGTGTTTTTTTTTTGTTTTTTTTTTTTTTTAAATCATATTTTATACTATTTATTGGGTTGGCCAAAAAGTTTGTTGGGTTTAAGTAAATTTTCTAATTAATAAGTGGAGAAACTTTTTGGTTGACACACTATTTTTGTCTAATTTATGTACACACAAAATAAAGATTTCACCTGATTTTTTTTCATCTGTATATGGCATAAAGATGGTTGTTTAAAAAGAGTGTATATAATGCAGGATAGTATTAAATCTTGGGATATGCCTTGTTTTGGACATTGCATTGATGTCTCAATTCTGGACATTTCAAATTGGTTTAGAAGGGTCTATTTGAGATTAATGTTTAATATTGGGGAATTTGCACCGGTGAACATTACCAACATTGCATTGAGGATTAAGTATCATATTATCTGCAGTCTTATTTCATCCCTAAATTATAATTATGCATACTGATTTAGATAATCCTGTTTATTAAGGACATTGCTTTTACAGTGTTAATGTTGACTAGTACCAGTTTTATAAGGTATAAGTGATAATTTCAGCTTTTAAAATCTTGAGAATAGGACACATTGAATTATGCTTGTTACAAATTTACTCAAATTATTATCAGTAAATATTTTTAGGGAAAATAGTCATATTTACAACTGTTCCTTGAATATTTATTGATGAGATTTTGATGGTATTTATATATAGATTTTAATCTAGCTTTAATCTATAGACAAAATAAATCTGTATTTAGAGAATTAATCATGTTTAGATATACTTTAATTGAGAATTGCACAAAATAACTTATTGTGAAAGACTTAAATTGGTGAGTACCAAAGAAATTTCATCTGCGGGGGGGGGGGGGGGTGTGTATGTGTTGATACAGAACCTTAAATGCTCATTCTGTTCCAGAATTTGCCATCTCTGATTGAAAAGTGAAACTTATTGTTTCAGTAAATTCTGAAATTCTCTTATGTTTCCATAGCTGTATATCATCTAAACTTCTAATAAAACATACCGATCATAGTTTGCCTCCTCTTAATTCTAAATATACTCTAAAGAAATTAGATTTTATGAAAAAAAAAATGCTGCATATAAATTCTATGTCAGAAAAATAAGATATGTAACAAATATTCAGTAAGATCACTTGTCATAGGTTTTCTAATTGAAATTGATCATTAAGGCCCACATTTTGCACCTACCTGCCTCTTTTATTCAAGAATTAAAATGAATTTGTAATGTGAAATATTCTTATGTTCTATCTTTGTTCAGAGGGTAAGGATTAGAGATTCATGTGCAGTAGTAGTTGAACTGTAGACTTTAAGGTTCTTATCTTAGTTCTCTTAACCATTGTGCTATTAGACATTTGAGTTTTTATGTGGTTTATTTGTTATTGTATAGTAAATATATTTTCTATTCAGAACTTGAAATCTGATTCTTCATTGCAACAGTCCAATTTTAAGCAGACACCTGACCTAAATAACTGCTATTGTGTGGTGCTTTTTAGGACCTTTATTGGATGGCATTGCATAACTTGCTCAATTTAAGTTTGTAACGTGAAGCTGAGCACGTTCAGTATCCTGTTGAAAGGAATATTTATGTAAGATTCCTACTATATTTATATTGGTTTCATTGTAGTCTTAGTTTTAATGAAAAGTCTTACATTCTCCTGAAGCCATTATAACATTTTCAATACTGTATAGTCTGACATTAAGTATCATTATTAGGCAATATAAGCACAATTTTGCTGGTTCATTCAAAACCTGATCTTTTTTTTTACCCTCTGATTTTTTTTTTTTAAAGCTTTTGTCTTCTATTAAAATTACGTTATCTCTTAATATCTTTATTTATCATTTCCAGATTTAATGAACTAAAGTCTGAAAAGAATTAATCCTCTATTATTTTATTGGTAATTTAAATTGTATAACTTCCAAAATAGGTGCTAAATGAATAAAATTAAGTCTTGGTATGCCTTTTTGCTTTATTTTGTAATACATATCTGTATAAAAATGTAAAAAATCAAAATATTTACATATTGTCTAGATATGTCAAACATCATTGCATTTTCTATTTCTTAGACAATCATTTCTACATGTTTTATTTCAATTTTATACTCCAAGCATAACATTAAAGTAAACTTGTAATGCTTGAATATTGAAAAGTTTTGTATAATTTCTGCTTATAGAAATTTACAAGATCAAATGAAAGTGGTTTATAATATGTAGTGCTGGCTTTGTAAAATGTCGAATTATATCTGAATAAGTATTTTCCTAAGAATTTCTTTTATATAGTATAACAGCATATTAATTCAGTTTATGCAATTTTTTTTTTTTTTTTTAACAGCCAATTTTTATTGGATCAAGGAATGTTTTCAAAAGCTATAACAAATCTTTAGTTATAAATTTTTCTATGTACTAGATTGAATGTTAAGGATCTATTACCCTAACCTTTCTCCTTTTTATGTATTTAACGTGTGGTTACCAGTCTGATGCTTACAATAACATCTTGGATTTATTTTAATGATTTTTTTTTTTTTTTTAAGCATTGGATAAAGAATGCTGCTTATCAATTTTGAATAAAATTGTCAGTATATTTGTATAAGTTTATTCTATTTTATAATGAAATTTTGCAATCTAATAATTTCAAAGTTGTGAATGATCAGAAAAACATTGCTGAACAAGTATAAAAATTTTGGTTTTAGTGAGTCTCATGAATACTCCTAAGAATTTTTTTAAGAACAATACCGTCTAACTGTTGTACTTATTTAGAACATTTAAAAAAAATTATTTTGCTTCTTTAATAATGCATCACATTAAAAATACAGAAATTGATACTGTTGAAAATTTTCTTCATTCTTGTTCTAGTGTTTTATCTTTTTCTAGTTGAGAATCTAGTATTAATAATTTTGACATTGGTTTTATGTCAGTTTACCATTTCTCCTATCTTAATTTCTTGCTTTATTTTTCTAACATTTTAATTTGAATAAATACTGTTTGTGTATTTAGATTCTTTTCTTAAATGTCTGAACACATTTTGAGTTTAAGCAGCTTATTATGAGTTCATTCTCTGTGACAGGAATGGCTGCGTCATATGAAGTAGGTGACTGTTTTTCTGCAGGTCAGGTGACCTATCGTGTGGTGCAAGTGACACAGGATGGCAGTGAAGCCACAGCACAAGTTGTGTCCACAGGTTTTCCACCAGGATCACAAGTAGCACAGGTCAGTTGGTTTATTTTTCTTCAATTTGCCTATATTAGCTTTCTTCTCTGCATTTAAAACTTTTTGAAAATCCCCCCCATTGCTTGCTCAGGCTTTAGCCTGATTTGATAGCATCACTTAATCAAAACTTTATATATAATCTACCATATTTCAAAGCTCATTCTCATCTGTTAAAGGTATTTTTTAGATGAAACTTGTTTACAAGTAAACACTGGATTTTTAAACATTTAATTTTCTCTCTGGTCTATTTTGTTGTGTTTTCCAAACCTTCAATCTGGTATGAAAATTCTAATTTATCTATTGAATTTAAAATATTTATTGTATAAAGTAAGCTTTTCTAGGGATAAGAGTTTTTATTTAATATTTGATAAGCATGTGTAGGCTCTGTAGTCTGATTAGGAAAAATGTGTTTATTATATGCAACATTTTTAACAATCTCTTTCCTTTTAAATGCATTTAACCCAATTTTTCACCTCAATTGAATATTAAACAATAAATCGAGTCAAAATTTAGCAAAGAACTGTCAGGCTATGGACTTATTGATGACTTGTTCCCCAATAAGTGACATTTTAATTTTCATAAAGCCAGCTGTTAGTTTTTCTCTTTAATACTATTAAATATTTGATTGTAATAAATCTTGTTTTATGACATCTATACTGTAATCTTTTTATCGGAAAATTAAAAGGTTTTGATCAAATTGTTTTTATTTGAATAAATCATCAAAGGAATCCTTTTTCTACTAAGGTTCTATTGGAGTATGTTTATTTTGGGAAAGGCAGTGTTATTGAATTTTTAGTGTATCTATATAGGTGACCAACATCCTATGAAGGTTGACAGTATCAGCCTTTTCTGCTAGTGTTAAGATTAAAAAAGATGTGGTGAGGGTTAATAATTTGCTAAAGTACTCATTCACCAACTCTCTTCTGTACCAATAAAAGGAACTTTTTGTCATGCTATCTGGCAATGGGACAGCACAGTGGGGTGGTGGACATGTCTTTAGACTAGGGCATTAGTGTGAAGTGAACATAAGTGATCTCTCAGATTTCAAATTCTGGTAGTTCTATTTTCTATGCTAGTCACTATTATGCTACTTATACTTCATTATCTCTCTACAAAGACTTGAACTCTAAGACAATAGGATAGAAATAGATTTTTGAATCAAATACATTTTCCTTTATCAATTATGTCTTATATCTCAAATATAAGTATGGAATTTAAATTGAAAACTGCCACTGAACTCTTTAAATCCAGCTAGTTTTCAAAGTTTTATTCAATATTTTCAAAGGTTCTAAAACTAATGTTCCATTTATAAAAATCTCTTTCAAAAATCAGTTGAACATTAATATTTTTTTTTTTTTTTTTTTTTTTACCTAGTGATTTGTCAGGTTATTATCACATGTACCTGGATTTTAATATTTAATTTTACTTGAAATATTTTTATCAGTCTTCCTTTCTTGTTGATATTGGAGCCAATATTGTCCAAGATATTGTTGATGATTGATAAAATGATTGAAATAAAAATATTTTATTTATAAATTTTAGTGATGAAGGCAGTTATAAAATTGAAAGGTTGTTGAAAAACAAGAAATTTAAAGTAGTTTTTATTTGTCTACAAACTGACCTGTTTTGACATGATGGCTTGTTTTGCATATTTTTCTATTTTATTGCCAGTCAAACAACATTTTGTAACAGCAAAATGGTTATTGAAATACAGTATTTGCTTTACATAGAAAAAAAAATGGTTATGATATTTATGTATATCAACTCTTCAGTATGAAAATGGTAAATGTAAAATTTAATGAGAATTATATATATATATATATATATATATATATATATTTGGTGTTTTGCTTTTTAGTAAACTTGTCTTGTTTCTTGAAAATGTATGTGTATAAATGTGTTTTGTATAAATTATTACCAGTTATTTTTCTTATAAAAAACAGTAAAAATGTCTTAAAACATTGATTCAAGCAACTCTCTTGACTTAAGATTTCAAGTATAGGGTATAGTGCTTTTAAGATATCTGATATAAGTAAAAAAAAAAATACAATTTCCAAATAGGAAAACAAGTGATAAATTTAAAATTATAAATGCTTAATTTTTGTTAGATCATCAGATTTAATTTTCTTTTTTTCTTTACCTATAGGCTGTGATCCAGGCTCCCTTCAGTAATGGAGGTAGTCCAACCCCAGATAATCAATCAGAGACAAGATTTACATATTTCCCCTCTGCTTCAACTGGGGAAGGTGCTGTAACCTCTCAAGCTGATGTTTCTACGGCAACTGCAATTGGCCCTGTAACTACTGCTGGAGGTAAGTTCCACAATACAATAATAAAAAAGTTTGTACCCTTTATCATTTGCCTGTGGTTGTGGAAAGAATTGATGTTCAAGGTTGGTGATGTATGTTAGCACAAATGTGCCAGAAGAATGGAGTTTTGAAATTGTTTTAAAATGGAACAAAAAATGAAGCCCTTCCCTCATCTCTCTATCTGTCTTGTTATTATAAATGCTTGAGATCTAAAGGATGTTGCTTAAGAATAAAGGTTAATGTTGGCACTTTGCTTTCTAGTAAACTTATGCCTTGTTTTTTGAAAATAAGTATTTTTCTTTTCATATACAGGTCAGTTCTATGTCATGATGTCACCACAAGATGTTCTTCAAGGACAAAGAAATATTGCACCTAGAACAGGTTTTACACCAAAACTTGAGGGAAGGTCAACTCGTGATGATCGGAGACGTGCAACACATAATGAAGGTTAGATTTATCTATATAGCCTCTTTACTTTCAAGATCAAATTTGGCTAATATTTGCAAGAATTATCCTTCCTATTATGTGATCTTTCACTCTCTCAGTATTAAAACAATTAAATCAAAATTCTATGTAAATATTCTTTGCAAGTAACTAATACTTTGTTTGGGAACTCGTTTTTTCTCTCTTTCATTACAAATGACATAATTTAAAGTGATGACAACTTTCATTTAAAAATTGTCATCTGCAAGTAGTTTTAGTAAATGTGATATATTCGGTTGTCAGATATTTCTTTTCCATTTATTTTAACAAATCAGTCAATAATAAAAAAAAACTATAAACAAAAGTAGTAGAGAAAGAATAAAGCTGTAAAAAAAACAAACTTTATCTGACAACCCAATATATTCATTAATGGGCAGTATGATTGCAGTGTTTCAGTTCTCAAGCTGAATGGTCTTTAATTATAAAAATTGATATAATTATCTATTAATGAGTGACAGCACAAACTCTTTAGTAATTTTTGGAAATAATTCTTTTTTTTTTTTTCTTCATGGAGAAAGTTCATTATAAAGATTGTGATGTTGAAGTTCTTCATTAAAGTTGTTTTCTTCTTAACTTCTATTAGTTTGAAAAAAAAAATGATATTTTGGCTATTGGAATAGGAAGTATAAATGTAATTATATTGAATTGAAAAAAAAATGTGATAATTAACACCTTTTTCTTGTTTTCTAGTGGAAAGACGGAGAAGGGATAAAATTAATAATTGGATTGTACATTTGTCAAAATTAGTGCCAGAATGCTCTCAAGATCATAACAAACAAGGACAAGTTAATGCAGTGAGTATCATATCTAAAATAAAAAATGCTAATAATGAGCTAATATGAATTCTATCCTATAGCCAAATTATATATTTGGCATAAAAAGTATTAATGAGAATTTAGAATATTTACTATAAAAATATTAATTAATTTATATAGGATGTGTATTTAATATTGGTTTGTTTCTTTAGATAAGGCATATAGAACATATATTTGAGAATACAAATAAAATAAATTTTTCTGGTCTTAAAACCAAAAATTCCAAATCACACACTTTTACAAGACACTTTTTAAAAATTTATTTTTAGTTTATAGATTTGCTACTCATTAAATATCCTGATATACATTATTAGCTATTAACAAACGGTATTACATGTACTCTCGATATGCATTGTTCTTTCAAGACTTGAACAATCCTGGTTTTCTGCAGCTTCCTATCTTTTATTGCTCTTAGCAATGCTTTAACATTTGATTCTTTTTGCTTTTGTGGTTCATGTACCACTATCCAATTGCACAAAGTTGTCAAGTAGGTTACTTGTGTCTTTCCTTGCTTTTTGATGTGTCCCGTGAATGTTAAATTCAAGCATTCTTTCCTCATTATGGGTCCTATTAATTTCATCCAACAATTTCTTTGAAGTTTCTATTCTCGAGAAATTTTTTTTTTTCTCAACATTCGCCAATGAAATTGCATCTTTGTTTCCTCAAATCTTTTGTCCAGTTTTCACTATCATAAGGGAAGGGAAATGCACTTAATTTCTAATCTTGATTTTTTTTTTTTTTTTTTTTTTTCTGAAATAAAAAATAATCTTTCATTGTTCTTCTATTCCTTTGAATTTATGTCATGTTTTCTGCTTTGATATTATGCTACCTAGAATTTCCACACTTGGTTGTTTTTATTTTGTTTACATCTCAATGCATAACTTTTGGGGTTTTCTTTCTAGCTCACCACAATGCATTCAGCTTTCTAACAATTTACTGTTGTCTGACATCAGTATCATCATCTGTATATTTTTTTTGATAAATCCTAGTCAGTTCTATAATTCTCTTAGAATCTTGTTGAGATAGTGTCCTTGTCCTACACCTCTTATTTTGGTGTACTTATTTAATTTGTTTTCTGTGCAAATAAGCCATTTGTTCCAATATGAATTGCAGGATATTTATACAACTGGTCTTTGACTAGAAGCTAGATATTTCAAGAAGTTCTTTAAGTTGTAATTTATCAGATGCCTTTGAAATGCTGGTATAGGTTTTTCTTTTTCTGATACTAATTCTAACGGATTTCTGACCATAAATATAGATTTTTTTTTTCCCCCTCCTGTTTCCAGTTTGATTCTGCTACAAGCTTTATTCATTAGAATCCTAATCATTACTTTTGTTATGTAACTCTTCAAGCTTGTATTATTTGCATTTTTGGCAAAGCTATGAAAATTATTCTTAAAATTGTTCTGGTATCCTGCCACTTATATATTTCATTTATCACTTAAGTAGTTTTAAATGAATTTTAAAAAATTCTCTGTTGAATGAACAAACTTAGAAACATTAAAGTAATACACTACTGCATGTAAATACAGTATAATGTATTTAGCAAAATATAACCAGGTAACGTTATAAATTTGATATTTAATAAATCCTTTTGATAGGTAAGTGTGCATAGTAGAAGTAGGAAAGTTATTTATTTTTGACTTCAAATTTGAAATTTTTTTTAATTTTATTTTTTTTATTTATCTTACATGACTTATATAAGGGAGATAAATAATGGCTGGACCCTTCTTAATCACATGTGACTAGGCACTAGAGTAGATTTTATTGTGGTTTGAATACACAGAATTGTGCATATGTCTTCCAGTGAAAGCGTGGGCTAAATTCAAACATTTAACTTTTACATATATGCCTTCAGGATTCAAGCAGACTCAATTTCCTATCATTTGTGATTAAATAATGAATAATAGATTGGCTAACCAACCATTTCATTTGCAAAGAATTTACATGTGTGTGAGAAAGAGAAAGGATTACTTTCAAATATATATATATATATATATATATATATATATGTAACAAGAAAATAAAAAGAAATCCAGAACCAGTAAAGGAAATATAAACAAAAAAAACAAAAGATGAACATCTACCTTTGCAATAATCCAAATTGCTCAATGGCCATAGCAAATAGACTAAAACAGAGCAGTAACCTTAACCAATGACACTACACAGTCCTGTTCCAAATCAGTTTCTTACAATGCAATCATCAGATGACAAGAACATATATATATATATATATATATATATATATATATATAAAGAAATATACATAATATCTTACATTAATTGCACAACTCCGAGTTCCGTGCTGGAATTATATTTATTTTAATGATTCCAACACTTGAAAATTGCTTCGGCGTTAAATCAGAGTTTGTTTTTTTTTGTGAAATACTTCTACTTTTGTACTTTTGAGGGTCATTCATTTGATTTTAAAAATTTTATTTATTTTAACTGTTGTACTTCACATTCTGTGTTTGGAAAAAAAACTATATTTTCTATATTATGATTTGTATTCAAAGATAAATTTAACTTATATTCTTTTTTTTGTCTTCTTTTCTTTTTCTGTTATTGGTCTCCGTGCAGAGCAAGGGGGGAATACTCGCGAAAGCTTGTGAATACATCCAGGAATTGCGAACAGCTAATGCTCGAATGGCTGAAAGCCTGAAAGAGACAGAGCGGATATCAGTTGACTGTGATTTACATCGACAACAATGTGAAGAATTGAAACAGGAGAACTCTATATTGCGTGCCACACTCCAACAACATGGGATTGGAGTACCAGATCATACTGGTGGTGCCTCATGAGGTCTGCCATTCCCCCTTCCCCTCCACCCCCTCCTCCCTTTGCTCCTCAGATGCCAAGTCTACTATTTGCTTGAAACACATGGACATTGTTCATATAGACTTCTGGCTAATTTCTTTTTCTTTTTTTTTTTTTTCCTGCTGCCTTTCTCCCTAGCCCTCATCCTTATCCCTAGCTCTTGTTATTACTACTACTATGGATATTTGTCATCCTCCTATTCCTTGATATAGACAATTGGTTTGGTTCATTGCACAAATGGATACAAAAAAGCTAAGAGACAAAACTGATAATAAAAAAAAAAAAAAAAAAAACGTGAAAAATAAAATCATAGCATTGCACTTTTCTATGCAAACCAGTGACGCTTGGAATCCAGAAAATTAATGAAGAGCAGAAAAAAAGAGAATGGTGTGGAGATGTGGAATGGGAAGAGAGAGTGAGAGACAGACACAGATAGTGGAAATATTTAATTTTTATATTATTTTATTTTTGCCTGATCTCAATAAAAATTACTGCTTATATAGTTTTGGATACATAAGACTTTGGCAAATGAAGTTTGCCATTTATGCATGAAAGTATGTCATTGGAAGCAGTTAAATCTTTAAACAAATTGTAAATCTCATTGCTTAGTAACATAAAAGATGCATATAATAGATAAATTTTCCTAAGGTGGAAAATAGCTTTGGAAATTGCTCAAAGAAATTTAACTTAAATCCCTAATATTTAAGGTATATCTTCGCGTAGTTATTGAATTAATTCAAACAAAGGATTGAGAAAAGTAAGAACAGGGCAAAAATAAACTCTTTCAATTATTTTTAAACACCATATTCTCTTCTAAAACTTCTTTGTATTTTTTCTGCATTAATTTATAATTCAAAGATGATTGGCAATTAATATTGAGCATTGCATATTTTTACCATTACAGATTTTTATTCTATAAATCAACGATAAGTATTCTATTTTTAAAGGACTTTTATAGCACAAAAGTAAACAAATTGCATTGGACAGTAGTGTTTGTATTTTACTGTTATTGAATTTTGCTGATTTTTTTTTTTTTTTTTTTTTTTTTTTTTTTTTTTTTTTCAAGTAGTTTTTAATCATTCAATCAAAGGACAACAATGATGAAACTTGCATGGTGAGAATTACTCTAAATAGACCTTTTAAATTCATCTGCTGATTTACTTGTAAAATTTAACCATAAGCCTTAGCTTTACTAATCAGAGAAAATATTAATTTTATGTCAATTATCTTAAGGAAATTTTCTAATTTGAAGGCTGTAGGAAATGCAGATAAGACTAAGTTTGGAATAAGCAAAAAAGGACAGACTTATTTCTTATCTTTCTCTGTTATGTAATTTTATGCTTGTGTATATCGGTCTGACACAATAATTTTGCTCAAATTATATTGAAATTTGATTCCTCAAGAATATTTTGCCCTCTTTTAGATTATGTACATTATAAAAATTATTGATTTGTATTTTTTTTTTTTTTTTTTTTTTTTTTTTTACTACCAGTCCAAATTAGATTTCTTTCTCCAAGATTAGGCCTATTAGTTATATATAATTAATCCTCTTGCATTTAATTTTAAAACATAGACTTAGCAGCATCCAATGGAGTACTTTCACTACTGTCTTTTTTAGCTGCTATAAACATATTTGAGTAAATAGTCATTAATAATTTTTTTTCTTCCTATAAAACTGAAGTAGTTAAAAAAAATCAGGATTAAGCCATAAAGAATTTATTAAATGTGAAATTAGAAATATCATCCGAGTTGAACCATAAAAATTAAATTGACTAGTAATAAGATGGCTTACTCATTTAGTTTTTTTTTTTTTTTAAATACTAGAAACTGAAAACTATTTCAGACTACCAAATTTAGATATTTTTGCTATAAAAATTACTGTGTAATTTAATGACAAAATGAAAAAATCCTATGTAGCATGTTTCATCTTTTAGAAGTTCTTCAGGAGTGGGGTAATGGAATATAAACAAATGTTATAATTAAACATCAAGAGAAAAGCTGAAGATGCAGGGATGCTTAAATTTAGATTAAATTGCTAAGTTTCTGGTGTCTTGATGCACAACCTAGCCTACTTCATTCAGCTTCCTATTCCTTTGTTTTTAAATCTATTGCTGCCATTTTTAAATATTCCACATTGTGATAGCAGTAGTTTTAAGACAGGTGAAATGCTATAAACTAATATTCATGTCAACTATTGCTTGAATCTTTTTCTTTTTTTTAATACATAGTACAATAAAAAAAAAATTAACCTTTCCTTAATAATAGATAAAATTATAAAAATTTGCTTGCCAACTTATTGCAAACCAATTAACAATGATTTTTATAAGCAGACTTCAGAAATTTCAAGTTAAATGTCCCTGCATTTTCCGTGTTTCTCTCAACAATTTTTGACAATGATTTTTATAAGCAGAAATTTGAATTATTGATGGGATTGTTTCTTAGTGTGTATCTTCTTAGAATTTGTAGAGAATTTACCTAAATAATTGGTATATTTCTTTATTAATATATCCCTGCAAAACAGCATTACCTGATCTTGTAAATAAATTGAACATACAACAGAATTTCCTTATGAAACAGAAGGGAACACTACATTACCTTTCCTCAATATCATGTGGAACAACTGATAATGATCTAAAAAGTAAATGTTTATCATAAATCTACTAATAAAGAGGATCTCAAATTTCTATTCATGCTATAACAGCAAAATAAAATCTGGAATAATTATTGGCTTCTATTTAAGTACACTTAGAATTTGCAGCTCTCAATATTTACATGATAAATAGGAATACATTGAAAATACTTTAAACTTTCCCAATACCATAATTATCTCCTATACGAGGACAGCTCATTAAATCTATGAAACTAGAAAAATAAGTAATTTTAATAAAACCCAGTAACGATTATGATTGGAAAGAATTTATCTAAACTTTTATGTAAAAATTGATACAACTACTATTAAAACAATAAGACTTAATTAATACAAAACAAAATAATAACAATCTAAAACCTGAAGCAGAAACTTACAAAACAGATTGTAATAAACGTCACAATATATAGGTGAAAGTTCTAAGAATTTAAAAGAATACAAAATGGATCATTTATGAAATGCACTCAACACCTTCAATTTAATGACTCTGGCCATAACTTGAACATAAAGAATGCAATTTTAATTAAGAGAAAGTTATCAATGC